GTAGTACGTACGTACGTACGTGTACGTCGTAGTGTAGTAGTAGTAGTGTAGTAGTGAGTGAGTGAGTAGAGAGTGAGAGAGAGAGAGAGAGAGAGAGAGAGAGAGAGAGAGAGAGAGGAGTCAACTATTTGTCATACTCTAATCTAAGTTATGTATGTTAATATAAATTTGGTAGTTTTTAAAAAACCATTTTATAGATTATAGAGGTGCTCCTCCCTCCAACATATATAGGGGTGGCAATATACCCGGGACCGACTCGGTCCGGGTATAGGTCCAAATCTTGGACCCGGGGGGTTGTCCGGGTCTACGTAGAACCAACCCGACCCGAATAGCTATATGTTTTCGTTATAATATTTAAATTATATATATATATTATTTAAATATTTAAATATATATTTTTAATTATTTTTGGGTCAGGTCCAATTGGGTTCGGTCGGGTCTGAGTCCCATAAATTTTTTCCCGGACCTGGATCCGACCTGACCCTTTGCCACCCCTAAACATATAGGCTATAATTGAGGGAATAGCATCTTAAAAGATATTGCATACAATATTTCTATTGGTTTAGAATGTCATATTTCAAAAGAAGTAACCACCCCTCGCGAAATTATAGGCTAAAGTGGAGGGTGTTGAAGGAATGGATGGCAGAGCTACCCTGGTAGTTAGGATCATGTTGCAATGGACACATAACAAGTTAATGTGGTGTAGAGAGCAGCTTGGTGTTATTTTATGCTAAAACTGTTTTGCATGTTGTAAGAGAGCAGCACAGTGCACAGGTGCCGATGATGAATTTTGACAAAACTATGGGAGCCTGTCATAGGAAACTACGACATATATCATGTATCTTAACAGGCTTCAGGATGGTGGCTAGGTTATGATCCAAACTTATCTTATGCTCGATTCATACATAGATCAAAAAAAAAAAAGTGGCACATGCACATTAAATAAAGGTTTAGGCATATTACATAGTGATACACCATTTACAGAGTATAAATCTAGCAGTTGTATCTACTTATTCTTGCATCCATCTACAGGGTTTAATTGGTTGTAGTTTGCCTAGTTGTGCTGCTATGAGTTATGGTTCTTTATATCATGTATATGATTAAGTAATTGAATGTCTTATAACTGACCATTCTTGATTTGTTATCTTTCATCAGTGGCTCTGCACACTTGTGAGGTTGAGAGAGAGAGAGAGAGAGGGAGAGAGATGGGGTTCATGATTCATGTATGCCATTTTCTGTTTTGGCATTTTGTATCTGTTTGTTTTGCAAAGTTTATGCATAATCATAGTCATCCTTGCTCTGACTCCTAGCTGTTTGTGTTTTTCATTGATATTCTTTTGATACCATACTAACATTTAATTGACAATGTCATGTGATGGAATTCCTACGACAAAACTGCAGAGGAAAACTGACGAGTAAGTTATTGTTCACACCCATGACTATATTTCTTCTTTTCCCATGAAAATTATGAAATTTAATATATGGGTCCTACCATACATTGGGTTCCATCGTCTTGTAGTAACTAGACAACAGATTACTCCGACAAAATTACATATCTATTAAATTATACTGAAATTCCATTATATTTACATGAAACTTGGAATACGAATTTCCAATGAGGTGAATTTTTCTGTCTTTGGATTTTCTCTGCATCAGTTATTTGTTGGAGTTTGATGATGACGAAGAAGATGGAGTTCCTGGAATGCCACAGAGGCACGTTCCCTTCCACAAGGTTGTGGCTCTTCCCGAAGGGCATCGCCAGTGAAACTATTGACCTAAAACGGTTTACCAAATTGTATATGGTTTGCTATGTATTTCAAGGGTTGTATGCCATGAAAGTGTAAAGTGGTGGTTGCTTTGGCTCCTGCCCTCTTGTATATGTATAATATCACTACGAGTCTTGCCGCATTGTATCTAGGTAATGTTGTATAGTGAAATCCTTGATAGAGGTGGGTTAGCACAACTTTGGTTAGGAGCAATACTTTTGCAGCTGTAAATTGCAGGTTTGAATTGTTTCTGTTTTCATTCTCTCTTTGGGCTAAGTGTGAGGGTGATTGCAACCTACTTCTATAAGTAATTTTATGGGTTCCCTTTTTGAGGTGCACCTTACTTCTATAATATAACTCTCATTTTACCAGGATCTCTCGAAACTCTAAAACAATCGATTCAAATAAGGAGTTCATGCAAAAGTAAGAGTTCATGTCTATGATGAGACAACAATAATTGTATCCACAAAATAAACGTCAATCACAGGAAAGAATAAAAATTAATGAAATTTATGAAATAAAATTAACTCAATTAAAGTAAAGAAAAAGTTTATACAAAGTGTGAACATTATAATACGAAAAATAAGGTGCATTTCAAAAATCCACTGAAAAAAGTTGTTGCAACACTCAGAAAGCTTGCAATTCGAACATCTCGACCTTGAGTATCCAACATGAGACATGGAAACAGTTGAAAGCCGGCAATTCAAACATCACGACCTCGAGTATCCAGCATGAGACGTGGAGAAAAGAAGAACAGAATTTTAAGTCCTAAAAATAATTTTATAGATCTGTTCGACTTGTACCGTTTTTTCAATTTTAAATTTCATAATTATTGGTGATGATAAACTTGCAAGCCATCATAAGGATTTCAAGCACTAGAATTGCATCTCTCGATAGGGGTCGTTAAGGTTCACACCCACATATAAACCTAAGTTTTTAAAATTGGTCTAGACCGGCGGTCTGAATGATAGAACCGGCAATCAAAACCTTGGCCAATCTGATCAGGATTTACACAAAATCAATCAAAACCTATATTTGACTGGCCAAATTGGTTTGACCGCCAATTTTGTCGGTTCTATTTGACCATCTGATTTTGAAAAAGTTGAACTTAATTTCTATTTTTTAAATATTTCTTACCAAAGTTTTTATTAGATTTTTTTTTTTCAATTTGATTGCATGGGAATTTTTTATTGCTAAATATTGTACCAAAAGATTGTGATAAAATAGAAGCTATATCTTGCTTTCCTCTTTCAAGAAATAAAAAGATCAAATTTGTCAAAACTCTTCCCTTCTTTGTCATTTTTTTTTATTTTTTGAATTTTGAAAGCTTATTAAAATTTCAGATCCATTCCTTCTGTCATGACAATTTATTAAATCTCTCTACATAATTATGGGAACAAAATTGATTTCTAACATAACATCCTCGTGCAATAGTTTATAGAGAACGGAGTAAATCTATTCCTTTTTTATGCCAATTTCAATTACTAAAAAAATTGGCCATGCTTCAACTAACTATAGAAAGCTAAACAAAATAATATTTCATCAAGTGTCCATTTAAAATAAGTAAAATTTTAATTTCTTTTATCAGCTTGTATTCAACTAATACTGGAAATGCCAAACGTTTTTACCACCTTTTCTTTAGTTTTATCTAAGGGTGCGGTTTGTATGGAGCCTAGGCTCTAAACAATCCAATTAGAGCCTACCTTCAAATAGTGTCAAGGAATGTGGTTTCAATACTAAAAATCTTTTTTTATAGCCTTTAAAATATATTTTCATATTTATTTATAAAGTTTAAAACTTAAAAAATTATTATAGATCGAGAAATCTATGAAAACTTGAAAATCTTTAAAATTGACGTTCCAAAAATGTGTTACAAAATACACTATTTTCAAAACTTAAAATTCATTTTTTTCTCATGTCCAAACATCTTGATGTCGAGATGATCAATTTGAAAATATTCAGACATCAAAACAACCTCATCTAATGAAAGTTTTGAAGTAAGCTCGATTTTGATTGTTTAGAGCCTGGGCTCTATATAAACTTTTCCCTTTATCTAATGCATTTCTAATTTTTATTCATTTTTTTCTATTTTAGTAAATTTCCTAATTTTTTTACATTGACGTAAAGGTCCGATCGATCTAACCCGATTGGATCAGTTTTGACTACATCAATCCTTTCGCCTTCGAGCACCCACCCAATCCTAATAACACATACATAAACCCTCACCAATCTAAAATATTATTTTTTTATTAAAATTCAACATCTTGAAAAACACTTTTCATTTAACTACCTTGTGCAATACACATTCCATTGGCTAGTTTATTATAATTAACTTTCGACGAACAGTGATTACTCAATAAATTAATTAAAAAGGGGCAATATATGCTATTTTCACAAATCCTGACAATTTGTAGTTGTCGTTTCCGATCCACTGAGACTAATTCATATAAATAGAAACATGATAATGAAAATAAAGGAGACAACTTATATGCTTGAACATATACAGACCAGGCATCCATTCCCTCTGTTCTCAAGACGGCTGGTGGGGATGATCCACATGACAGACTTTCTGCCTGCACTACGGTTCATCTTAACTGTCCATCACAGGAATAGATGATGGAAGCCCTGCTTATGTATGCTAACATGATGAGCATGAAAATATTACAATGAGAGATTTGCATGCACAAAACAACAACTCGGTACTGATCATATGTAAGTATATAGCAGAACTATTCTCTAACAACCTATGCAATCTGGTGATCGGGTTTTGTTGAGACCAAGAGCAAAAATGAAACAATACTCTACCTAATCATTTTATTTAAATTTCGGGCTGCTGTAAAGTTGTGGAGACTGGAGTGAGGCACAATATGTCTCAAGATTGTAGCCTTCACATATGAAATGGCAATCCAGCCCTGAGCCTTATATGATCAGTTCTTTGCTTTAGGGTTTTGACCCTTAAAATGCTCAACAATTTTTTGACACTAAATGAGCCTTATATGTTCAGTTATTTACTTTAAGGTTTTGACCCTTAAAGTACTCGAAATTTTTTGACACTAAAATACCCTTCAATTATAATACAAAAATTTTTAAGTAAGAGCATGTTTGATCATTTAGAAAGGTAGAATGGATATTTTTATAAAAAAATAATGACATTCTATTGGTAGTTAAAAATAATTAATGCATCTTGTTAGGTGATGTTACAAACCATATCGGTGATGTCATTGTCCAATATTGTTAACAAATGCTTTTGTTTCTATTAGGAATTTCTAACTTATTTTTGATTAATTACTTAAAATACCCCTAAACAAAAAGTTACTATACAGTAGGATAAAGGTATCTAAATGTCTAAAAATATTGAGCACTATAAAGGTCTGTATAGCCTAACAAAACCCTTTTTTAATGCATTTATTGCCAAAGCATAGGTCAAAGAATGCATTGCTAAGACGCCGGCATTTCAACAAAACAAAGAGAAACTGAGTAGGTTGGTAGTGGTGATAAACGTAGCCGACCTAGCCTCACTGATGGACAGGGCAACAATTTTGCATACAAGAAATGGCATATGACATAGCATAGAAACCACACCCATGACAAACATCAGGTGACTCGGCTCAATCTGCGAGTGTAGTGACAGACACATGATGAAAAATAGAAAAGCCAATGGTGAATCATTTTTCTGAGGTAATGAAAGACAAAAGTTTCCATATAAAGCCAATGGGCACCAATAGACTAAACCAATAGCCTAAATCGTTAGAGATAATGAGGTTCAGATATGTGAACATGAGATACCGAATCCTCCAACAAGTTGGTAATAAGTGGTAGGACCAGGGAATTACGGAGATGCATCCTTATAAAGTTTATTTTGAAGAAACTTCAGAACCAACCGTCATCTTACACGTGTCCATAGAAAACTTCCAAAACAGATCAAGACTAAATCGATGCCAAGTATAAATATCTATCCTCTTTGGGAGATTTCTATGCGAGGAAAACAGGAATCTTCCTTTTAAAGTTGCATTGAATCTACTTATCAGAGGAACAAGGTGCAGTGAAGTACTGCTTAAATACAATGATTTGGTTGTGGTCTTCAACTACTGACCAGATTATGCACATACAAGAGGACAGATGCCTTGAAGAGTTAATCTAGGAAACAAAGTGCAGCTCTAAGGAGAAAGAAGGCATGTGGCACACCAGTAGAGAGATCACAATAAGTGTAGTTCATAAGTGAAAGCAAACTGTTGCCAATTGCTGTGAAACTTAAATTAGTGTAGGAATGGGGGTGGCATTAGGTGCCAAAGGACGATGTGTCAGAGCAAGTAAAAGTAGTAGAGGAGAGGATTCACTTCCAGATTTGAAGGCGTCAATAGCATGAGCGTAAATATTGCCTTCCATGTGCAGATAACTTCATTACTCTTCAAAGGTAACTAAGGAGTATTAACAAGCTGTATTCAGATGTAAATGTTATGTTATTCCCTAATATTTATTAGGGCTATTTTAGCATAGTTGTGCACTCATGATTGATAGGATGATTGATTAACATAATGCATTTCTCATATAAGCAAAAACATATCAAAAAAATATTTTCACAAGCAATGCCATCAAACCACTAGTCACTAAGGTCTTGTGCCCTCCATGATTACATTAATAGATAACTCGCCTACCAGAAGTTCCAACTTTCTACCCCTAGGGGATTTCAATCCAATTATCAATCCACATGCATTAGATTTCAAACATAATATTTAGGTTTTTCTGTATATAATTGGACTCGGTGCATAAAGGAGGACCTAAAAGGCAGCCTTTTCAAAAGTTCCCAAAGCAGCTACAATCAAATCAAGGCATTGAAGTTCCTAGAGGTGTCTTGTTTTTCAAGCTTTATGTTTGCACCCTAATATAGGTGTGTTGGAGGAGAGTCCATGAAAGTGAACACTCCCGGATATCAATAACATGTACATTCATCAAGGTGAGTTTGTTACTAACAATGTCACACGAGATATTACAGAAGACGAGAGACCAGACAATCCCTACATAGAGAACTCAAAGAGAGCAGAGACAAACCCAAAAATAATATGAAACCAAACCGCAATACAAGCCATGACTATCATGCAACTATCCCATTTTATAAAATACATTCCTCATAGGAATTCCAAATGAGGAGAAATCAGCAACTATAGGGCAGAAGCAAGGATTACTACTGAGAAACATAAAGAAGATAAACCCGGCTGGATCACGTAACTAAAAAACTGGGAAGTAGTTCGAAATTGAACCCTAAATTAGGAAAACTTGCATCGCTCAGATCTCAAAACTTGATTTGATTCACCAAGCAAGAAAAGGAAGAGGAAATTTATCTGCTTTCCTCTAAATCACAAATTATTCATTTATCAACGACTTAAAATTTCACTGTAAAGAAGAAAATGAAGTAGATATGCAATTGTTCCAAACTGAAGACTGCTTTGATGCATTTTCGCTACTCGGAAGGATTATTCATAGTGAATATGGATCATCATCAAAAACGCCTTATCCCAACTATTTGAGGTCAGCTATACCAATCATGTTCTGCCATTCTGCTCCATCAAGGGTCATCACCTCATAAGACTATAAGTCTTCATATCTTTAATCAATTCTTCCATCCATGTTCTTTTGGGCCTTCTTGCTCTTTTAGAGCCTTCTACTTGAACCAAGTTGCACCTCCTAATTGGTATTATATTAGGTCTATGCTGTATATGGCCAGTACATCTAAGTCTACTTTCCCTATCTTATAGTCTATCGAAGCCAAACCTAAGTTTCCTCAAATATATTTGTTCCGAATTCTATCATTTCTTGTCTTGCTACTCATCCATCTCAACATCTTCATCTCAGCTACAATCATCCTATGGGTATATGTTGTTTCTTGACCACCCAACATTCTGTCCTATAAAATAAAGTTTGTCTCACAATTGTTCTATTAAACTTTCCCTACAACTTCATTAGTATTGCAGCAATCACATAAAATTCCGAAAGCACATCTCCACTTTGCCCATAGTGAATATGGATATAAATGCATTTTTTTAGTATGTCAAGTTGGACCCATTTTTTTCCTTCCAAATGACTTGGATTGAGGCATTGTACAGAAATCGACTGGACCAAGGTACTCGGCCCTTGGCAGAGCCGGGTAACTCGATTGAGTCTTGAGAGTCAGCTGAGTCCAGCACATGGCCTTTTGGCCCTAAAAAAAACTATAAAAAAAGGGAATTTTTTTTGCAAAACAATAAAAATGTAATAAAAGTAAAGTAAAACCTAAAACAACTTAAAAAAGTTAAAACAAGCTTAAACATGTAGAGAAAAAAAATCAATTTGAAACAACTGATTTACAGTTTCAGATAGTTTTAAAAAAAGAGGAAACTCACCAATCTTTACCAAATACATCCAAATCATATACAAAAAGATTATAAAAGAGTCCAGCATTTTTTAAAAATCATTTAGAAATTTTTTAATTTGTTTCTATCTTTGTGTTGTTCGCCCAACTCAGGGAGTTACTCGCCCGGTTCCAAGTGGACTCAGGCAAGTCACGGTACGTTGGTTTGTGGTAATAGGAAAGTGCCCCTCGCCTGTTTAATTATCAAAAGGATTATGTGCTTAAAGCATGGATAGCAAGCATGAAGGAACAACGCAAACTGAAGTTTCCGGAATCTCTATAGATTACAAGTACCCTTAGGAATGCGTAATACTGATGCTTTACATTACTAGAAGTAGCAAACTGATAGGTTGCAAGCACATTTTTCAAAGAACACTAAAAACAACCAGCTACACACACCTATTAGAAAACAAACTAAAACAAAAAAGGGGATTCACTTAACAGGAACTGTCATCTACCACTACACAAAGTTAGCAACAGTGTGCAATACCAAACAGAGAAAAAAATATTCTTCCAGGTAAGAATGAGCGAGCATAAAAGTATCACCATTGTATTATGTAATTGATTTGTTGGACAACCGTGGAGAAGTGATGCATAATAATCATGATTAACAAAAAATATAAGAGTTCCTTATGTCTCAGACAATAGAAGCATCACTTTCACCATTGCATTATGTAAGCTTGCAAAATTTAAAATCTTAAGAAGATGTAGAAAATACAAATGCACCAAAATAAGAACCAGGATAAGTTTGGCCACTTGTAAAAGCACCTCCACCAACTCATTCAACAAATTGGCGTAGCAAGTTTGCTGAATAATAAAATGTCGATGTAGCGAAATATTAAGGAGTTTCTCATTTCCGTAACTTTCATATCAACTACAACTTTAGCAAGACAAAAGAAAGGAAAAAACCAGAAAAGAAAAAAAAAAGCAGAGAAACAGAGAAGAGAATGAAAAGTTACCTATATGACAAGAATTCAAACAGTTGTTTACCTCATCCTAGACCGAACAAACACCAACCTTTCCATCACAAACCAACCACCATCCCAACCTTATTATCAATCCCAAAACCAACAAAAAAACTCTCCTTCTCTGTCGATCATTCCACAATAGACTGAATAACCCCGGCCCCAACAGTCTTCCCACCCTCTCTAATAGCAAACCTCATCCCTTGCTCACAAGCTACAGGCATAATCAACTCCACCACAATCTTAACCCTATCACCAGGCATCACCATCTTGCTCTCCTCATCTTTATCATTCATAATTTGCGACACCCTCCCCGTAACATCGGTGGTCCTCATATAAAACTGAGGCCTATACCCTGGAAAAAATGGGGAGTGCCTTCCCCCCTCCTCTTTCTTCAACACGTAGACGATTGCCACAAACTTCGTGTGCGGTGTAATTGTCCCGGGTTTCGCCAACACCATCCCCCTCTGTATATCCACCTTTTGAACTCCTCGAAGCAGCAGGCCGACATTGTCGCCAGCCATGGCCTCATCCAGTATCTTTTGGAACATTTCGACTCCGGTCACTGTGGTATTCCTGGTATCTCTTAATCCGACTATATCGACCGTCTCCCCAACTTTTACGGTCCCACGCTCTACCCTACCTGTGGCCACAGTCCCGCGACCGGTGATCGAGAACACATCTTCAATTGCTAGTAAAAATGGCAAATCAGTTTGGCGCTGGGGGATTGGGATATAGGAGTCGACTGCATCCATGAGCTCGTAAATTTTATCAACCCATGAATTCTCACCTCTCTTAATGCTAGGGTTAGCCATGAGAGCTTCTAGCGCTAACAGAGCAGAACCAGAGATGATGGGTACATCATCACCTGGGAACTCATAGGACGATAGGAGCTCCCTCACCTCAAGCTCCACAAGTTGGAGAAGCTCTTCGTCGTCAACCTGGTCCTGCTTGTTGAGGAAGACCACCATGTTGGGCACACCAACCTGCTTGGCCAAGAGTATGTGCTCCTTAGTCTGGGGCATTGGACCATCAGCTCCAGAGACCACCAAAATGGCACCATCCATTTGGGCCGCCCCAGTGATCATGTTCTTCACATAGTCAGCATGACCAGGGCAGTCGACATGAGCGTAGTGCCGGTTCTCCGTCTCATACTCCACTGTGGCAGTGTTAATGGTTATTCCTCGGGCTCGCTCCTCCGGTGCGGCATCAATCTCGTCGTATTTCTTCGGAGCGCTGTTGCCAAGAGAGGCGAGCGCCATTGTTAGGGCAGCAGTCAAGGTGGTCTTCCCGTGGTCCACATGGCCGATAGTCCCTATGTTCACATGGGGTTTCTTGCGCTCGAATTTTCCACGAGCTGCTTTCACAGAGAACCTCAGTGGAGCACGGGATGGTGGGGGAGTCGCGGGCCGGAGAAAGGAGTTGGGGGAGATTTGGTGAGAGAAAGAGAGGAGAGAGGGGCTGGGGTTCTTAGAGAGAGAAACTCTGAGGATTGATGGGGAGGAGAGAGAGAGCCTGCTTATGGGAGATGGGTTGTGGGGCTTAGCCGTTGCTGCTGCGGTTGCAGTGGCAGCCATGGCTACTTTGTCAATTCGAGAGAGAGAGTGAGGGGGAGAGGGGTTTATCCTTTCAAGGGAGAGAAGTGAAATGGAGGCCTCTGGTTTAGAGAGAGAATGGAATTATATACCTAGTTTTTAGAGAGAGAGAGCAGTTTTAGTGTTTGAGGAGAGAGAGGATGTGGGTTCTTTACATCCTCAAATGGAGATGAGCCCAGGCTTCTACCATTCGATGGCGTTTAGGATAAGGAAAATTGATGAAAATGCCCTCACTCGATTTGAAAAAGTACTTTCACATCCTCAAATATTTATGGCTGTCAAAAATGCCCCTATAATCAAATCTTGCCATCTTAATACTTAGATGAGGATATTGAGATTCATGAGTAGTACGATGAGAAGGGATATGATTTGAAATGATTATATTCGAGAGGATTCATATATGACACCAATAAACACGATTAATAAAATTTTAGTACTCTTTAACAAAAAAGAAAAAAGAAAAAAGATAAAGTAGGCATGGATGGGTTGGTTATGTGTGGCGTAGACCTAATACATGAGTTAGTTCAAATAGAAGGTTTAAAAAGAGTAAAGAAATGAAAAGAAAAGATATGAGGACTTATAGTCCCATTGAAAATAATGCCTTAATGGAACAAGTGGCAGAATAGTATTCATGTAGCCAACTCCAATTAATTGGAAAGACTTTGATGATGATGACCCATCCTAATGCTATTTGTGCACATGCATACTTATATAATTTTGAAGAGTGTTGTTCATGGCCAAGCATGCATGCTTAAGTTTGAAGTTCTGGTGTGATAGGGTGCATTAGTACTTGTACATGTACATCTTTTAAGACAATTGTGAGAATTTTGAAGTTTTGAGAAGTTTTGATGGGATATGGTGCATTAGTGCTTGTACTTTTGTAGCCCTTGAGACAATTGTGACAAACTAAAGTTTTAGAACTATGATCTAATCCTAGACGTCCCTCGTGAAATTTTGATGTCACATCCAAAATCTCCATGAGAAATGCAAAATGAGTACATTAGAAATTAATACATTTGAGGGAACTTAGAAGCAAACTCAATAGACGACAAAATGATGGAAAGTAGATTTAGGTGGTCTAGTCGTATGCAATGTTGACATCTCTATACATTTTATTTGTACAATATTGGTTAAGAGGGGTGATTTGGTTCAAGTTGAAAGTTTTAAAAGAGAAATGAAAAGCGCCAAAGAGTATGCGTGGACATAATGAAAAAAGCTATGGTTATGGTCTGACTGAGAATACGCCTCTTGATAGAACAAATAGGTGGAATAGGATTCATATAGACGATCCCAAAGATTGGGATAAGGCTCGGATGATGGTAATTACCTCACAAGGTTTTATTTTAGCTTTCAACTATTGGAGCTTTTAATATAATGAAAAGTTTATATAGAGCCGAGGCTCTAAACAATCAAATTAGAGCCTATCTCAAAATTTTTACAAGAGGAGGTTGTTTTGATGCCCAAATATCCTTAAATTAATCATCTCGACATCAATATGTATGGGCATGAAAAAGAAATGGATTTCAAGTTTTAAAAATAGTGTATTTTGTAATACATTTTTGGACCGTCAATTTTCAAGTTTTCATATATCTGTCGATCTACACTATTCTTGAAGCTTTAAACTTTATAAATAAAAATAAAAAATATATTTTAATGCTATCACAAAGATTGCCGGTATTAAAACCACATTTCTCGACACTATTGAATGTAGGCTCTAATTTGATTGTTTAGAGCCTAAGAACCGCATCCTTTAATATATGCAGGGTTTAAAAAGTAAGGATTTGGATAAGATCTAGATCAAAATCGCCAAATCTAAAATGGAATTAGTGGGTGGGCAAGAGAGGAAGAATCCTTGTCAATATTTGCGTGATGTGAAAGTGATGAAGAACAAGACGATATCTATTTCTACACACCTGTTTCTCACAATATTTAGCAATGGACTTTTTACAAAATCAGAACGAATGTTACTTTACCAAGAGCTTGCACTAGTACTTTGGATGAATTGAATCTTCAAGTCTATCTAAATTTGGAAGAATTATCGGGAAAGCTTATCGGGCAGCTTATATAGAAAGTTTAGAAGGAAAGAAATAGAAGAGTCTTTAATGGTACTATCGTGCGTTTTGATAATGAAAGAATATTGCGGAAATAAAAAATTGATCTGTTGTTGAATTTGGAGAAGGTAGTTAAGTTGGGCATGTTAAATTTTGGGTGACACCACCATTAGTTTTTGTTTTAAAAAAAATAAAAATAAAAATTGATGATCGTTCTTTTGGAAATTCAAGACCCGCTAGATTGAATTAGGGAATGTGGGGGTAACGTTAATTTCTCTTATTTAGGTCCGGTAGCAGTATAACGGCAAATCAAACAGAATTGAGCTCATTTTTGCAAGGCTTGAAGATTGTTTATGAATGTTTTGAAGGAGCCATAGTAGTGGAATGAGACCGTTCAAATGCCATCAAATAGAGTTAAGGATCAGGGAGTTCTGTGGTCCTTGAAATCGATAAGGCTTCTATCTTCTTTAGACATGTTTACAGAGAAGCCAAAGATTTAGCGGATTACCTCGTGAGCATGGGAATAAATCATTCTGGCTTAGTGGTGCATGATGATATCTTGCAAGGTTTTTTGCGTTTATCATTGTAATACCATCTAAGTAATACAAGTTCATGATTTTCTAAAAGAAAAAAAAGAAAAAGAAAGAAAGAGTGATTTACATATGGAACTTAAAATTTTACGTAAAATACAAAGAGGTGTGGTTTCTATAAGGTTGCAACCTTAATCAATTCAATTAAGCCGCACCTCTAAATTGTATCATAATATATAATTTTGGTGTAAAGAATTATTAGGATTTTCTGAAAATCTATTTTCATGTCTAATTATAAAATTTTAAACTAAAAAAATGGTTAAAATCAAATAGATCTATAAACATATGAAAATCATGAATATGGACGGTCTAGATAGTGTGTCATAAGATGCACTATTTATGGGACTCAAAATATATTTTTTTTATCATATTCATCCATCTTGATATCGAGATGATCAATTAGAGGGTTTTTCAACAATAAAACAACATTTTTCGATAGATTTTTTAGGTGCATCTTTACTTCCATGTTTGAAAGTTGCAATCTTATATAAACTTTTTTCAATACAAAATGCTCCACTAATAGGTGAACATTACAAAAAGGTCAGTCAACTCAACTTTTTATTTTTTTCAAAATTGCCTCTCGGTCAATCATAATTTCGATTTTTTAGGTTTTTTTCGTTAGTAGAGCAATACCCCAAGCTTTTAATAATGCTATACTAATGAAAAAAACTAAAAAACATCAAAATTTAGGTTGATTGATCGGCAATTTTAGATAGGTTAGATTTTATTTCTCCGATATATATCACTATCCTAAAATAGGTTAATTCTTATTTCTTAAATTTTGGATTGTGGGTACTCTCATGATTAATTGGGTATAATAGGGTTTGAGTTGGGGATAGGTACCCATTTTAAGATTTTAAGAGGTTTGAACCAAAAAAATAAAGAAAAAATTGGGGATGACTTGCACACGCAACTACTAAGACATGGTATAAAAAACATTCTCCTATATATGTACTTACTATAATGAAATAAGTTTATCTATTTTTCTTTTTTCATCTTTATAAAATAAAGCTTACTAAAATCTTGGTTTGCTAAAATCTTGTTTGAGATTCTCTGTTTCTCCACTCTTCAAAAGCTTCCATAAAAATCTCTCAAAAGCTTTCATGAAAATCTCTAATCTCTCCTAAAATCTCTCATTCTCTCTGTCTTGTGTGTAATCTCTCTCTCAAAATCTCTCTTAAAATCTCTCTTTTTTCTTTCTCTTATGCTTACTTTCTCTCTCCTTCTAAAATTAAGATATGGAAACAATCTCTCTCTCATTAAGATATATAAATAACATGGTGATATGGAAAAAATGTTGAAATCTCTCTCTTCGGTGTACTCTATCTCTCTTTCAAATTCAGTTAACCTAAAATAAGTGCTTATTATATTTATCTTTTTTCCTAAAATTAGAGATGTTCTATAATCTCTATAAAATTAGAGCCCTTTTTATTTTTGCAACAAGTATCCACCCTTTAACTTTGGTTACAATCAAAGTAAGGCGTACCTCTAGGGTTGAAAGATAGTTTTAAGTAGCAAAACTCTTTGCGGTGGCTTGAAAATTTATTTTCTATCTCTAATTATAAAATTTAATGCTTGAAAAATAGTGTAGGTTGAGCAGATCTACAATCATCAAAAAAAATTGAAAACTGATGGCCCAAAAAATGCATTAGAATATCCACTATTTCCCCAACTTGAAATCTATTTTTTTTCACGTCTATACATCTCGAGATCGAGATGATCGATTTGAGGGTTTTTTGACATTAAAGCAACCTCTTTTAGTGAATTTTTGAGGTGTGCCTTACTTCAATTGTTTAGGGCCTCAACCTTGTGCAAACTTTTTCCTATATATATAATTAAATTATTTAGCTTTTTCGGAAATTTTCAGCTATTTTTAGTTATTTATGAAAAACATGATTTTTAGCCAATTACTTTGAATAAAGCAAAAACTGCTCTCCAAAACAATAAATTTATATATAAAACTATAATTTTCAGAGCGCCACTGTCAAACAAACATATAAGTATTAACTCTATTGAAACAATAAATTATCAAACGATACCAAATATTTGCAAGCAAGCATAAAAATATAGGAACTTTGGTTATCCTTAGTGTGTCTCAATTGAAGTGATCATTACACCGCCTTTAGACATCAATAAGAGATCTTGAGGGAAAAATATCATACATTTTTCCTCATAACATTCAACAACAACAGAAGATGAATTAGATACTTCATCTAAACAAGTTCTACTGCTTAGGATGTGAAAACTTGTTTCTTGCTTTCCCGAGACAGCATTTGATAGATAAACATTATTGAGTTTCTATGAACAATAGTTAAAAAATAGGATTTTCTATGAACAATTGATAAATAGTATCGATTTTTTAAATCTCCAAGGCACTGGCCAAACCTTTTCATCAAATTGTTCATAGAAAAGAAAACTAAACGAACGATTGATATGACATGATATAATCAACTTGGATTTCTGTGAAACCAGCTGCTCTAGAAAGAACAATGGGCATATCAAGCATAGAGTCCACCAAATAATTAACAATCAAATGATTCCTAGGTTCACTAAAATCATCAAGAGATCATCCTAATCTACATGTAGCCATGATTGACTTCCATGGGCAATTTGTTAGCAAACAGTCCTATGCTTCATAGATTATCGAAACGGACATACTGATGATTGATATCATGATAACTTCTCAAACCTCTAAAGAAAGCATCATATTATTTTGAAGCTAGTCTAGCTTTTTTTATCATGCACAAGAAGCATGTACTAACTTATATCAGGCTCCTTACAAGCCTATAAACATATTACAAAAACAAATGAATCAAGCCCAACATCATTGCACATAAACTTCTTCATGGAATTCATTTATATATTTATAGTGAACCCTTTGAATCCAAAGTAGCAGGAATCATTCCTACTTTTCCTGAAACAACAGAGAAGACAAAGCAGGATAGCTATCTTACCATAAAAGCCTCAAAGATGGTAGTATATAAAAAGTTCACCTGTAATAAGGACCAGCCCGTAATTGTGGCAGTAGATAAAAAGAGATGCAATTTGATTCATGGGGACAGATGGGCATGTTGAAACTTTAGTAGGAAAGTCCAAATGTTCAAAGAACAATCTAAGATTTGAAATAGATAGGCTCTGAAGAGCTGAGGGTGAAGGACAAGATCTAGTAAAATGACGTAAGATGCTAAAGGAAGTGGAGAGTCAGAAATATGGCTAAACAGGCAAAATTAAAGTAAGTGGCCAAAGCCAAATGGTTAAAGGAAGATGATGGCTTTCCAAAAGATGGTGCAGCAATGTATTTCGTTCGACTTGTAGGTGGCTTTGTGTGAGCCTTACCTCAAGTATCGGAGGTGATGAAAGTGGAAATATATGAGGAGATTAATGATATATTTCTAACCCTTATTCAGATGTCGGAACAAGGGGTAGAGAAAATCAGATTTTTGACACCTTAGGTTGAGTTGGAAGACTTCAAATACTCGTGTTTAACATTTTTATCCACGAGTTTAATGTTGTTGTAGTACCTGGGTAGCGGAATGATTATGTCAAGTGCCTTCATCCAACTGATGTGAGAGAGAAAGAGACCTTATTGAATGGTGCTAATCAGTACAAAAACTCTCTCCCATTTGTAGCATTCAGATGATACATTGGTTTCTGGTTTTTCCATACCATGTCGACTGCACATGCAGAGGACTTTAGTCGGTATCAGCCTCTAGGAAAATGGTTGATTTATAAAAACATCTCACAAATTGAATTGGAGTTCAGGTGGAGGCTCCAAGAGAAGTTGCATGTTGTATGGACGATTAGGTAGGTTCTCTGCTGAATAACAAAATATTGGACCTGAAATCTGTGTGGTGTGTTGCATAAGGCCCCATTGGGCCTCATAGGTGAAAGGTTCAGGAGCAAGCTTGCTTTTTGGAAAAGCCACTACCTCTCTATGCATGGCAATCATACTCATAAAGCCCATCAAAATCATGTGGGACCCAAAGTGCTCCAATGCCTCAGTAAAGTACTATTTTACTTTACTTGTAACTAAAAAGATTGGGAAATCTACAAATAAATCCTGTTTTTTTAAGGACGAGGTTTCTATAAGGCTTAGGCTTTATGAAAACAAAATAAAGCCTCATCTAAATCCTCATCTAAAAAGCACTTTCGGCAACGGAAATCTCCATGATGGCTCTAAAATCAATTTCCAACACCGACAATGCAATTCAAAACTAAAAAAATGGTACAGATCTTGTAGATCTATGAACATTTATATTTAGGGGGAAATGGACAGTCTAGAGAATTTGTTACAATAACTATATTTTTAGAGATTAAAATCCTTTTTTTTTCACAACCATAATGTTGAAGTCAAGATGATCAATGTAGAGGTTTTCTAATGCTTGAATTGCAATTTTCGATAAGTTATAAAGTGAGGCTTTACTTATTTTGATATGGCTGCAGCCCTATCAAATCATTTTCCTTTATTTATATACTTGACAATAATCTAATATACTTCATATTTTACAATGAAGTCTTATTTTTTAGAACATAAAGTGCATTTTAATTTTATTTCTTTTTATAGACGAGATTAAACTCAAATTTGGTACGTACACATGTCTCATCATCATACACCTATAAAAAATATTTTAATAACAATTTAAAATAAACAAAAATACCAAACTACCCTTGAATAGTAAGGAATGGTTTTATAATTTTATTTATTTTAAATTATTTTTTAATATTTTATAAGTATATGATGATAAAAATCATGAACATACCAAATTTGAGCTTAATCTGATTTATAGAGAATGAGATAAAATTAGAATACACTCTATGTTCTAAAAAGATGGACTTAATTGTCAAATATGAAATATATGAGATTATTTTGATTAACACAAACAAAACAAGACTTATATGTAAATTTCCCAAAATGATTTTTCCTAGAATTAAAAAATTTCTCCAACAAAAATGACATAATCATGAAGCAATAAAGCAATCAAAATAGTTCCATTACAAGCATGTCCCTCATAAATTCATATAGAGGAGAATCCAGACCTCATCAACATCATAAGAAAAACAAACACATGCAACTACAAGCATTTCACGACCGAAGTTACCTTTAGAGTTTTGCTCATGTGGAAGGCAGCTTATTTTATTTGTACACTCCTAATCTAGCTCCATGGCACCGACAATGTATCAGGGCTCAAGTGATTCACCGTAGCGACGAGACCTAGAAAGCATTTTCGAGTCCAAAATAGCAAAGAATCCAAAAAAAAAAAAATTCTCATCTCTTACACCACCTCTCTAAACTTCTCACAAGGACAAACACCACATGATATCATGTGGATGATATTATGAAAGTAGCCCCCGCTGATGAAGTTTGTGAAGCCTGAGCAAAATCGACATAGATTTCCAACTATCTATTTTTGTATATAGATTGCACGGACTGTGTTCAACCATTCAAGAAAAAGAGGAAAACAGAAAAGCAACAAATCTGCACAAGATATCGGAATTTTGTGATCTGAGTTGCAATTTTCTTCATATTTGAACTATCAACATGGTGGCTCCACTTTGAATGCACACATGCAGGCACACGCTAACATGAGCACACACACGCTGAGCTATTGCGGGAATAAAAGCTCATGTTATGAAAAAGAAAAAAAGATTCACAACAATGGATAAAATAATGCTGCATAATTCCATGGGCCCTGATCAAATTTTCTTTCTTTTCTTTTAGTAATCCAAATATTTGACAACAAAAAATCAGCAAATGACAATGGCAGTTTAGCTCTGAATTTTTCTTTCTATATAACACAGATATTTTAATATGTACATTATATATCCCATAATTTTTAATGGGCCAATTTAAAGAACAACAATAACACATAGAACAGTCTCAAACCTGAAACCAAGTTATCTATTAATTGTTGGACAAACAAATGACCAAATGATGGGTAAAGGGAGACGTTCTTAGCCATTACTACTGCCCCTCCCACGACAGTCACATTTCCTCGACTGGTCCTGCATCCCTTATTCCTTTGAACTCCACAAATTCACACTTACACAATGCAATCACCTATAGTTGCTCTGTCTTCACAAGACAAATCATCTCACCAACAAATTTATTTTAATTATCCTGTCTCCCAAATTGCAGTGGTAACTCAAGACAACAGAATCCCCTATCGTTGCTCTGTCTTCACAAGAAAAATAATTTCACCAACAAATTTGATTCAGTTAACCCGGCTCCCAAATTGCAATGCTTTCCATACCAAAAGCTATACTATCCTCCAAAAAGAATCTAATCTGCATCTGAAGATAAATGCACCAAAGTCTCTTTCTCACTCTAGAAGAGCTACACTAGGTCTGTGTTTCACACACTTCTAGCAAGAGTATGTCTCACACTTGTAAATAACATTCCCAGGATGACAATGAGAAGTAACTACAACAGGAAACCCCCAACTCTACGACCAGTAAGGGCACATGCCTCTGGATGTGAGGAATGATCCATATAATCCAAAATCGTGTCTCACATCTTTGGCCTTATTGAACATCTTCTTCACTCCTCACTGGCTGACCCAGTTTGACAATGTCATCAAGTACTTCTCTAGGGTAAGAGCAATTTGTAGACGTTGATTCATCATCTACCACTGATTTCAAGCATTGCAAACTGTATGGCAATTCATTCTGCATTGTGTAGCTGGAAAGCTTAGAATAGAATTCGTCTAGGACTTTTCCTTGAACTTCAGGTCGCAATCCTTTAAAGATTTGCTCAATGGCCAGTTCGTGCTTTCTTTTCAATTTTTCAAGCTCTTTTTGCTGGTCTTCCAATAAATGCTCAAGCTCCCCAACAACTCTAATAACATCCTCTAACTCATTTTCCCCAGATGAGGAAATCCCACATTTAGAATCAACAGATTGATTCATGAGGATGTCTCCACCATTCTCGTCGTGACTATCACTTATACATATTTCTTTGATTGCTTCTGCTGCATCATCAGACAATGTCTTCTCACATTCAATATGTGATGGACTATCGTTACTTTGATCCAAAGAGGGATTCTCTATTGAAGCCACACCAATTGGAGGAAGTGGGTCACCTTGCAACTCCATCTGTTCACAAGCTTCGTCGCCATCCACTATAGAAGCTAAGGTTGATGGCCCAGGGTGAATGGGCGAGCTTCCATTTGAACACTTTGGAGAATCAGACCAATACTTTCGACCAGAAGGAAGCCTCTCAAGGATGAGCCCATCGGTTGGGGAATCACAGGTACCTGATATAGGGGAAATTTTATGCGTAGTTTCTGACTCATGGAGACCTGGAGATATTATATCATCACCTAATGTATCATCAAATGATGCTCCAGGTACCCAATCTGGGACATGTGCCTGTATTTCCAAGTCAATCATGGCAGCAATTGTTGTGACATCTTGATCAGTGAGATCCAACTCAGTAACCATTTCGCTCGCCACACTGATTGCTGTGTCTGCCTCAATATCAAAAGGGAAATGAATATTCCTTACATGACCTGAAAGAGAAAAACAATAGGATATTAGGACCACAAATGATGGGATTCAATTAAAAAATAAGAAAAAGAAAGGTATACCAAGATCTAATTGGGTATGGTACACAAGAATCCAAAGGAGGATCTACCATTCATTCCTCCTGGTGGGCAGTGGAGATCAGTTGTAGTTGATTTAAAAGGGCATTCACCCAGGTAAAATTGATCTCCACTGTCCATTATAATAAACAGTGGATGCTGCTTTGGAGTACCATATGCCATACTTCAAGTATTATGTATTGTTTCTCAATACAAAACCAGTCAAGACCATGGAAAATGAATCCAAAAGGAAAACAAAATAAAGACCTTTGGAGTCTGTTATTCGAAGGCTCAAAAATATTGTATTTATATCTTTCCTCTGACCCTTCACTGTAAAATCCCGACTTGCCCCAGTTGGGTCTTCTTCTGTGTCACTAGAGGGGCCGCCATTTCCATTGTTTCCAGCATGTGACATGTCAGAATGGGAAGAAGACCCAGTTGTAGATCTCTGGTTTACTAAATTGGATGAGTCACCGTTAGGCCCAGGCTCAGTGGTTGATTCTTTCGAATTGTTTCCCTGAGGGTTTGAACTTGGGAGCAAAGAGCGACCGACACTGTCACCCTCTCCATCACATTGGAGAAAGGGATCCTTTAGAAGCTCTCTGGCAGGCAACCTCTCTGAAGCATTTGCTATGCATTTCTCTATGAATTGTTTGACTTCAGGATCTTTCACCTTGGCCAAAGCCGCAGGCTTGATTCCCTTGAAGAAAGGGGGACAAATATTATCAGTAACTTTCAAGCATTAATTACACATCAATTCTAGGGTAGAGAACATGAAATTGAGACTGCAATTCTGTTCAGTTATAAGGATTGTAAGAAGATAAGTATTACAGAAGCACGAATCATAAAAAGCACCACCAAGTACGTTGAGAAATTAAGAAGTGTCACTTGTAGACATACCGCTGTAACTTTCTTGTAAATTTGGGCAGCATTGGCACATTCACCATATGGGTACTCGAAAGTAACCAATTCCAGCAAACACATGCCAAAAGCATATATATCTACCAGTTCATTGTAATCTTCTTCGTAAAGCTCTGGTGCCATGAACTCCGGAGTTCCTAGAAAAAAACTGAATTTGATTATATAAATGACTAATATCATTAACCAAAAGAACTACTCAGTGAAAAATGTACCCAAGTACTCCAGTTCCATCAAAGAAAGAGAAAAAGAGGGAAAAGAAAGTGATACCAACCAATGACACTGTGAGCTGCATGAGCCTGGCGCAGGATTGCGGCCAATCCAAGGTCCCCAATTTTAACCTCACCCTGGTTTCCATTAACAAATACGTTATCACATTTCAAATCACGATGAATAACTGGTGGATCATGACTGTGCAAATATAAAAGTCCCCTCAAGATCTGCCTTGACCAATTCTTCAAAGCTCTCAAGTCCACGTGCTTATGTTTCTTACGATACCTAGCAAAAAAATGAGAGGTAACGAGTATTAATTGACAATAACCCATTTGAATTATCATCCCCCATTCCAGAAAATGCTAAATTGACTCATATTGAAATATACGAGAGAGAGAGAGAGAGAGAAAGAGAGAGAGAGAGGGGTTAGTGACCCACTGTCGAAGATTCCCTGAAGTGAAGATCTCAGTTATGATGTTCACATTGTCATTCTTGGTGTCAACCCATGAATTGTAAAACTTGATAATGTTCTTATGCTTGAGTGTTTTCAGCAAGTGAACTTCTGAATAAAGACGCTCCAGATCCTCTGGATTTCGTAGGACATCAACCACCTTTATTTGGTTCCACGCAACTTCGATTCCTTCTAGTTCATCGAATGCTTTATAACTGAAGAATAGCAAATCAACGAATTATAAGAAGAAAATATTACTACTAACAATTCAACAGAAACCAGAAGGTGAAAGGATCAGAAGACATACACTGTCTTGAATGCGCCTTTTCCTAACACCTCATTATACTGAAAGAAACACAATAACAAATTTCACACAAAAAATATTAGAATATAACTAAAACTATAATGAAATCAATTATTTCGATAACCAATGATATTCATATTAAAAAGTGGCAAAAATCTAAACTTCATTTACTGCTAGCTGGTGCTTAAAAAACACTGGGCAGCGCCTAAGCGGCCAAGGGGCCTAAGCCGCCGAGTGCCTCGGCAGGCATGCAAGGATCTGGGAAAACGAGGAATCCTGTTTTACGGGCATTTTTTCAGACATTTTTATATTCAAAATAAGTTTACCTTATAGAATTTTTGTTTTAGGGGCATTGCCCTACATTTTTACTTTGGAATAATTGTACTTTATACAATTTTTATCCAGATTTGGATTATAACCGTACATCCAAACCGGATCACCACTTCTAGAAGAACCCCCGAAGAAGACGTATCGAAAACAAATAAAATCTAAGTATGAAGAAGTATACTTGATCCCAAAGAAGACATGTTGCAATAACACATAAAATCTTAAATACGAACATTCTTGAGTGAAATTTATGACTCAAAAGCTCCCGAATAACCAGATCAAATTGAATCCAAAACAAAAGGATGATGTTTGAATGAATTTTATGAAACTTCGAATTCGAAGTTCAATCCAATCAAATTCAAATATTGATTTTTTTTGTTTTAACTTTTTGGAACTTTGTTTTTTGTCTCAAAACTTTTAGGGAAAAGTCACGGAAAATGCCCCTGAGCGAGGGGAATTTTCATAAATGATGGGCACAGGCTTAGAGCCGTTTTCTGAATTACTGCTCTGGCACTGTAAGATCCCAATAAATTTCACCCAGAAAAATAGAAACTTCAACTGAAACAGTAATGACATCAATTCTTCTGGAAACCAATCAAATTCACATAAGTTCAACACAAATCAATGTTAACTCTGGCACTTCAGATCCCAATAATAAATTTCAGATCAAATTCTTTTGTTACTTAAAATAGAACGGAATCACTTATCCCAAATCACCACCCCAATTCATCTAAAGTATGGAAAGAAGATCAAACTTCACTACGATTCCACCTTTTTCATTGTAACATCCATAAAACAGATATCCAAAAAATTGAAAAACTTAAACTAAAAAAAAAAGATAAAAAAGACCCCAATAAATTTCAAGAAAGAGTTTCAAACAAGGAAATTACTAACCCGACCATATCGACCGGTGGGATCGATCTCTGCAAACGTATCCGTATCGTCCCCATCTTGATCCGAGGATGATTCCGCCATTCCCCCCCAAAAAAGATCTCCTCAAAGCAGTAGAAAGCGTCAATTCTCCAAAACCCCAAATTTTCAGCACAATAGAATTCTCGGAAGAAATTCTCCGGAAATGTGAGCAATCCCTAGTTCCCTGAGACCTGTTCTCTGGATCTCCAGAAGCACTAACAATTCAATAAGTATAAACCGGAAGGTTTGAGATAGTTAGAGAGAGAGAGAGAGAGACTAGAGAGAGAAAGATACTTGAGATGGTTAGAGAGAGAAAGAGAGGGAAGGGTGAGTGAGAGTTGTGGTGTTTTGAGAAGGTCGTCGGTGGGCATATGCGTTGGCGTATAACAAGTGGATGCTTATTATATTTCCCTCTCTTTCTCTCTCTAGATCCTCACGTAAGTCAGAGAGATTAGCGGCCGTGAGCAATCTTCTTCTCTCTCTACAAGCAAAACAGAAAGACAGATTCACTTTTGGAAGTAAAGTCACACATGAAATTCATGTGGTGTTTGAATCGGAATACGTTTATATCGAGCTGAGGCACTAAACAATCAAATGCGATTTCAATACTGAAAATTTATGTGACAGCTTTAAAAGATTTTTTTATTTTTAATTATAAAATTTAAATTTTTGATAGTTTTAAAAGATATTTTTATTTTTAATTATAAAATTTAAATCTTTAAAAATAGAATAGATCCACTAGATCTATGAAAACTTGAAAACCTTGAAATTGACTGTCCAAATATATGTTGCAAGATGCACTATTTTCAAAACTTAAAATCCATTTTTTTCTCAAAACAACCTTTTTTTAGGTCCTAATCAATTGTTATAAAAGTTTTTGCAAGAGTATACAATGAGACGATTTATCTTTGGTACAAGGTGGTCCCTAATAATTTTGACCATTGGATGTGAAATTAGATGGCTACATTTATTTCATTGACCAAGCTCAAATTTCAATTTTTTTTTTTTTTGAACTTTGTGATAGATCCAAGCTATTAGATTTCACATCGGGTGGTTGTAAGTAATTGTGACCTCATTGTATCAAAGGTACAGGGTCTCATTGTATACAATCTCAAATTTTTTTATAAAATTTCAAATTCCAAAAAATGTTCAAATTAAATCTATATATATATAATGAAAATATTGAAAATGAGTGATCTAAATAATATGTTGTAAGATGTACTATCTTTTAGGACCTAAAATCTCTTTTTTTTTCCATAGCTATACACACGATCAATTCAATATTTTTCCAACATCAAAACATTATTTTTTAAAGATTTTAGAAATCCACCTTTGTTTTGCATTTTAATATGTCAACCTTACACACGCGATAAAAGATGGAATATGTGGCTAGCTAGATGGCTATATCGGCATAGGTTTTACTCTATATATAATATATAGGTGCAGTTTCCGTACGGACGCCTCCGTAGGTGTAGAGGTATGGTGCCCTTCAAATTTTATCATGGTATATAATTTTGATGTAAAATGTTATTAAGATTATCTCAAAATCTATTTTTATATCTAATTATAAAATTTTAAATTTTAAATTTAA